TGGCCCGGCCAGTGTTGGAACCCGCGACGTCCGCTCAGCCGCCCGGCGCTTAGCCAGGTGGCGGTTTTTAGTGATGAGATTGGCGATAGCAGCGTTTACAGCCGGTTCCAGGCGTTCAGATTTAAATTGTGGGGACACCACAAAGACATGTGACAATGGCGGGAAACACAGTTACTCGCACTCTGACTAAGTTCCTCACTCCACTATGAACACCGGCCTGCAACAGGTTGGCAGGTTTTAAAACGACGTGGGTGTAAATCGCCCGATTCATGGAAAGCATAACTTCTGCTCACACTTGCTACGGACCGTTGTTTATTTTGGCCAAGAAATAAACGCATAAAATGTTAGAAAGTGCGCTAATGTGGAAATGTGGGTTGGAAGATGAAATTGATGTTCAGAACAAGCGTTTTAGTGGTTGATAAGTAGGTGTGTAGCTATGAGGAAATGGTGAATGGGCATAACTGACGACTCTTTTAGGCCTAGTGTGTCAACAGAGGAAATCACGACCGAATCATGAACGTGGAAATCGAACTATCCAGCTTTTATTTGAATTAAGAACATATGCCGAGGTTCAATGAAAACAGGAAAGGTGACAAAAAACGCTCTTAAAGCATGACTGCAAGTTTGTTGATATGTAAATAGCAACGCTATCAAGTTTATGACTGGCCAGAAATCTTACAATTCTCTTGTTTTCGTTGATCACTAGGTAATACTAACTAAAAATATTTTTAAAAAAGTGGACCTCGATATAACGAAGGGCCAAGGGACTGGCAAAATTTGTTGGCTATAACGAGTTTTCAATCTATCGAGGTTCTTTTTCGTATATTTAAATGGGGTAAAGAGAATCGTTCGGCATACCGAGGACTTCGTTATATTAAGGTTCGTTATATCGAGGTTCAACTATAATACTTTCAAGAGGTTAGAGAAAGGGATTTCGTAGAAATTTTACACAATTTTCGGACTTCCAGAAGAGTAATAGTACAAAAAGGAAGAAGTACAAAAAAGGGAGTGTCCCCAAAGGGGTATTATAGCTAAAGAAGGCAGGTTCTATACCGATCTCCGGGAGGAGAACTAACCGACCTGATCTACCGCAGATTCAACCTACAATAAACAACACCATTATTGTGATCAGCAGCCCATATCCACTTTGCTGTCGCCTCAATACCACTTATCATCATTCCCCATGGAGAATCAGCTGAATTAACTCCAAACACTCTTGCGGAAGGCCAATTCTGGTCATCAAAATCCGGGGAATTCCATCCGGGATACAAAACACCGGTGCACTTCCAACTTTCATTGGTTAACAGGCCGTTGGTAGTGGAGCCAAGTATTCCAAATCCGCCCCCAATGTCCGTTCCTGTCACGGAAAGAACTCGCGTGTTTCCCGGTATATTGTCGTAGGTAAAAGATGCACCCCAATCATTGTTATCGTTTCCTAGACTTGTATCATCAGCAAACAGTTCCATTGCATCGTCACAAGTAAAAGTGGCCTTAAATGCTGCAAAAAAAAAAATAGCATCTCTCTCAAGGCCAGTTCACAAGTGCCTTTTTCGCACAACTCCTGGTGCAACTTTCAGATGAAATTCGTAACATGGCGCGTGTAAAATGGCAGCGACTTCGGAGCGATTAAATTACTGTTTATAGGTGTGAGTCCAGTTTTAATTTTGTAACGATTTGGCTTTTCAATTTTGTGAGCTTTTCTTGTTTTTCATAAATCTACAATGAGAAACAAAAGTGCAGAGACACTTCCAAAAAATCGACCCTTTTTTCGCGTGGTGGATGTATCTAATCCCCTCCTCCTGTGTAACTGCACACACTCCCCCAAACCAATATTGTATTCTAACCATTAAGTCTTTGCTTCAACTACAAACAACATTGATTTGGGGGTGGGGGGGTACGGCGTTCAAACAGAATTGCACGATAAATGAATGAAATTTATTAATGAAAGCACGCGTGTGTGCCAACTACTTTCTCACTGATTGTAGGTTCCGCAACAATTGAATTAAGAGTTGCACGAGAATGAACAAAAATTTTCAAAACCGTCTGTGCAAAGTGCTGAGTTCTCCCGATTCATGATTCATCCAATTCCAGAACATGGAAATAATCTGACCTTAGTCGTACCCTAAAAATAGGGTCGCTCCCAGGGTTCTCTTCTATTCGCCCCCTGCCCCTGAACGAATAGTGAAAGATAACCCTGGGAACGAGATTGCTTTTTCAAATGAAACCTTTTCAGGAGCACTCTCACGGTACTATTTACTTAAAATGCATTCAGACCTCACTTTTGAGTGACTCTGAGAAAGACTCAGTTTGTGGATGAAACCTTGTGGTGTGATCATCCGATTGAAACCGCCCCAGCGGTACTTTTACGAGGTAATAAAGAACTAGTATGTAGTTCTAACTTTTTGGTCTGCGTCAATGAAGCTCTGTGGCATGACCATTTAAATTAAACCTCTTTGGCAGAAATTTATTGAAATTTTACGATTTTTATAGGATTTTTTAGCCTTTAACTGAATTTTTTTCTTAATTGTTCATCTTGTTATTGAGCATTTGCTCTGTATGCTCCTGTCAGCGTCATTTGGCAAACAGAATATGAAAGGAAATAATCTTAATTTATAACCACTGACTCATGTTTAATGCTTCAGAGTTCTTTTAAGGGCAAGCCTCGGAGACTAAGTCGTAACCAAACTTACACGCACACTTGAAGGATCCAATAGTGTTCACACAAATTGATGAACCACTGACACAGCCATGGCTTCCAATGGCACATTCGTCAATGTCTGTGTTAAAGTGACAAACTGAAAGTCGGTACTTTGCATTATTTTACTTAGTCCCTTGTTATAATAACCTTACAATCTCAAGCCTGTTAAAGTTGAGTGCAGTGGGATGATCAGTATATAGAGATGCACGCACTATAAACAGAAGTTACAAGGTGAAGGGTCGATATGACATACACTGTTAGCATCAGGCTTGTCTGCGATACTTATTACGTTATTATATTCTCGGTATACGTTCAAGCGCGCGGGTGCATTACAAAAGGCCACTGGGCATTAAATTAAGGAGACAGAATAAAAAACCTCACTATTTTAAAGGACGCTATTTCGATCACTCTAGAGTGGTTTAAAAGTCTAGTAGGAGACTCCTGGCGGGGCAGGGGCGAGAGACGTCTGAATTACGAGCGTTATAATGTTGTCCGGTGATGTCCCCTACTTTTGCGAATTCGATAGGCACCTTCAGACTACCTATCACTAAGGGTGGGAATCAGCTTTGTCCATGGTTAATCCTTTCGATTCTGCTTCTCTGTCGGATAATCTAGTTTTCAATTTAGATCTTAAGTGACGGGGTCATAAGCGAAGTCTGAAGAAAAGGAAAAACTCCCAATTCTAACATCCTCGTTCCCAGGGTTCTAACAGTTGCCGACTAACGCGTCCCCAGTAACGATCCCAGAAACAATTGCGGGACGCATTTTGGCTCCAGCTCCTTCTTGTTCTAAATTGGAGAATGGATGGTGAATGCAGCTGGCGTCACGGCAGCCATGTTGGTTGACAAGAACAAAAGAGTTTCCCTTCGCTGGGAAATAAACACTTATTTTTCGAAGTTTAACAAAAGAGGGGCATTGCTTTGTCAATAGACATGGCTGCCTTGTGATGACAAGATTAAAAGGTCCCCTTGCCAAAAATCAGTCTGTTACTGCAAATTGGAAGGGAGATATAAGCACCTCCATGCTCTGATGACTCCATACAATCAATCTAAAATTGTTTTGGATTGTAACGTTTATGATCCAGGCCTATTCAGGAAGAATTTACGGGGAGTCATCGGAGCATATAGTACTTACACCCCCTTTCCAATTTGCACCAACAGGCTGTATTTTATCTGCGGTTTAAGGGGGGCGCTTTTTTTATCTTGTTCTTTCTAAATTCCAACCCATCCCATAATTTCGCATTTTTTTTCGTGACGAGATCACTTCTCCTCTCTTTTGCCTACTACGCAGTCTTAGTTAGCTCATAGAAGTATTTCCATGCATGAAAGACCTCCCGAAAAGATTTTGTCTTATTCTTACCCTGGCAGTGCTCGCCGTCTCCAGTAAAACCAGTTGAACAAGAGCAATAAAAAGAACCGTGGGTATTTGTGCAGTTTGCATTGGTGTCACACAACTGGTCTGCCGCACTGCACTCGTTAATATCTGAGTAAGTATAAAAAGCAAAAATTAAACTGCGCATGCGCATTATTCCAAGCAGGCAATTCATGAAAATATTTACGGAGCAAAGAGAAAAAAAACCACTCATTTAAGATTTAGAGCCCTGTAAACTTAATGTCGCTAAAGAATAGGCGAATCTTTGTTTACATTTTTTGCCTCATTAAAATATGCTTATTATTGTCTGATGAAGATAATAAAAGAAAACCTCTGAATGTTAAAAAGAGCATGACAATTTCATTTATCCCTGAAACTTTGAGCCCAACATACCGAATGGTTTCGGAAAAATTCACTCTTATAAAAACTAGAAATTTTGCAACTTTAATTTTAACTTTTTTGCTACCCAGCAATTTCGCAGTTTTTGATGGCTGATATTTCCTTCAAAAGTGCTTGCAAAGAGCTTAAAATTGCACAAACTGTTCAAGTTAATCGGGTATTTTAATTTTTTGAATTTCCAGATCGTACATACGACCATGGCTTCTATGAGTTAAGTCATATGCTAATGAGGAAAAATGTAAACAATGACGTCAGCAAAGATTAGCCTCCCTTCTCTTTCTCCTCCCCCTCCTCCTAATATCTCCTTCTCTTTTCCGTTACCCTTTTACATCTGCGTTGTCCATACTGGACACGATTATTAGAATGTCTGTTTAAAGCCTCGGACAAGCACACCCATACTCGTCAATGTGGGGTGGACGGCTTAACAAAGTATGAAAAGATGGTTGGCGTTTCCTCTTAGTGTGAAGTCCAAAATGTAAAGAACGTAAAACGTTAATGACATCGTTGTAATGTAAAACACATGAAATTTACTTTTATCACCTTTAGTGTTCATGTCGCAGTGAGCAAGAATGGTCTTCCAAGGTCTAATGGAATCAAACCAGTATTTACCGCTAACAGCTTGCTCTCCTTCACTCTCCTTGATCTCTTTGCAAGAATGGGCGGGTAACTCAGGAATAGAACCTAGGGGAACTAGAGAGGACAAACAGTATCGCTTAGGGCAACCTCGGAAACCCAGGGACGGTCAGTCAGTCGGGATAAACGGTGGCGAAAGATTTCAAGAATGGGTGCGAGAGCTCCTGAGATTCTACGTTCTTCTCTTAATCTAATTATACGTACCGATTAAAAGTCATTAAAACATTTGCGCGCGAAATCTTGTACCTGGCTGCTTACGCCTGCTCGGCGTACTTGTCAGGCATTCTTCGACTTTTAAAGGTGATTCGAAACGACGATGCAGCATCACAACATTTCTGCTACATTGTTTCAAATGGTTACAACATTGTTCCAACATTCCAACGCTGTGTTTATTGAGCTAAAAATCGTCGTTGCGAATCGTCTGCTGAAAGATCAACTTGACGTTTGTACGTTTGTTGTTAAATACCGTAAAATTCCGAAAATAAGCCCCGGGGCTTGTATTTTTCAAAGGCCATTTTTGAGGGGCTTATTTTTGGAGGGGCTTATATTGGGAGGGGCTTATGTACGGAGGGAAATTTGCGTTTAAAAATCGATTGGGCTAGCCTTCTTCTTGGAAGGAAATTAACTGTTTTTCTTTGTTTTACTTTGTATTTGACGGAAATTTACAAGTACAAGCCCCCGGGGGGCTTATATTTGGAGGGGCGATTTAACGAAGGGTTTTTTGCGTTACAAGTTTGGGGGGCTTATATTTGGAGGGGCTTATACATCGAGGGGTTTATTTTCGGAATTTTACGGTATGTCTCCTTCGTGACACAAGAGGATCGAACGAAACTGGTAGAGTAGAGTTGCATGAACAAGCCTACAGGTACTCCAGAGTACCTACCTTTACCTTTCATCAATCCACATTCTGATTTCTTCGGTTCGTGCATTTTAAGTTTGGTGAGATTTCCATATAACCCCATAAATTTATTATGCAGGCAACAATTTCATACTTCTTCTCTCAAATAGTTAATATGAATAGATTCGAAACATATATGCATGACAAATGTATGCGGTTATACGGAAATCTTACCTTACATGCTAAATTATGGGTTATCTTCGGTTTTGTGGGCCCTATTTGCACTGAAAAATTCTTCTCGAAGAAAGCTCCCACGCAGGAGCCAGACAGGTGTGGTAAAGAGTCGAGTTTACAGGTAAACTTCTTCGTATAAGAAAATCACAAAGACAGAGCGACAGATGCTTGCCTCCGATTGGGCACAAAAATATTTTTGGTGCCCAATCAGAGACTAGCATTCGAATAAGTCGTAGAATTGGTTCGTTGAGAATGGCATCCCGGCGGCTCTCTCACCCGTTCTTTAAGACTTTCGACGCCGTTCGTCCGACCTGACCGACCGCCCCTGGGTCTCCAAGGATGCCCTTGGGGCTGTGTTTGAAGAAGTGTAGGAGACAATAATAATAATAAAAGGAAAAAAAAAAAAAAAAAAAAAAAAGAAGAAGAAGAAGAAGAAGAAGAAGAAGAAGAAGACAGTTTTTACTGACATCTAATTAACTCTCTTATATGTATTTGGCTTAACCTGGTACTCCAATTTTCCGAGGCATGAAACGATTAAAAATATTTCTTCTCCCCCGCTTGGACACGATGCCAGTTTATCGTAGGGTTACAACCCAGCTGTGTATCGCCGATAACCATTTATACCCCTGGGTGATCTAAGAGGGGCAGAGTAGGGCAAAGTTTTAAAGCTAAAGATATATACTTCATGGAACAAAAAGCTTACGTCTCGTTCTGTTTATCCCTTTCCGCTGTTGTTTCGCCGGCTCTCTACCATATTTTTTATCGACAGTGAAACAAACGAAACTATTCCACTCCATTTCCGAAATGTTTTTCACTTTTTAGCGAGAAAACTCCTTGAGTAAAACTTTTCTCGTTGATAAATGTGTGCGAAGCGGCGCTGCAAGCTGCAATAAAAGGCGGGAATTTTGGCGCGAAACTCGCACACCTCTGTGGCTTCTGATTGGACGTATCATTTTTCTCACACGTGAAAAAACATCGTTCGCGATTCTGATTGGACGTATCGTTTTTTTCACGTGTGAAAACCATCGTTCGCTCCTCTGATTGGCTATAACTAATTTGCGTACGAAAATTTACGACATAGCTTTTTGGTGAGTATTTCTCAGTATGTATATAATAAAAATTTATACTGTCACGCATGTGATTTTACGCACGTAAATAAAAAGGAGGCGTCTAGGCGTGACCTTTCCTACCCATGCAATACAGGCACGTACGAAAGTAAAAATTAAGCGAGATCGACCCTTAGGAAACAACGTGAAGCCAAAGCCTTGATCCCGAATCTCCAGAGCCGGAATTCGAGGTGTTATTAGAGCTACTACGAATAATTTTCATTTTATAGTAAGTTGTTACTTAATCTGACTTGCCTCTGTTCGTGACTAATCCCACGTAATATCTTTTGAAGTTTTGCATAAGATTCTTGGGTGCAGCTTCCTTCGTACGGTTGTTTAGTTCACATATATCCTGGTTAATGACATAATTGAAGCTTTGACATCTGACATCTTCTTTGCATAGCATTAAGCACTCAAGAGAGTTTGATGTCTTCATTTCTTTGAAGATGTGTTGACGCAACATCGTGTTCTTTATGGAGTATTCGCCATCAAAGCAAGTCCCTCTTACTTCACAAAGCATTCCCCAAAGAAGAATTGTATGGATTGCTGATTTTGCCCAGTACATTTAGCCTATTTTATCCTCTTCTGGCCGGAAACATTGCTGTATGAGAAATAAACGTCGTCAATTATCTTACAAAAAGGTTTAAACTAGAGGAGATTTTTCCTGCTTCCTGAGAAGTCCGGTAGTTTTTCAGGAAGCGAATTAATTCAATTTATCGTTTACATACAAGCAGATGTTCCGGAGATTTTGCCGTTCCGAAATCTGAAGTGAATACTTTGCATACGATTTCTGTTCAATCGGATAGGCAATGCTTTTAGCGGAAACAATTTTTCCCACGAATCCAGATACTCGCCTGCGAGTACTAGTTTGCGGTAAAACGAAGCGAAAACGGTATTTACTAACTGATCCCGCATTAATATTTCCGAATTAATCAAACAGCTGCAAGAAGTCTTATTATGTTCCCATGACGCCAACGGATCAAAATACCCTAAAAGTAATAAGTCTAGAGAAATCTCCTCTAGAGTAACCATAGACTAAGTATGTCAATATTTATTGATCAACAACACGCAATAAGTGTGTGTTTAAAAACAAAATAACGGAGTGAAGAGGGGGTGTGACTTTGATACCAACTGCGCTAAAGGATTTTTCTAAGGTTATCTCCACACTATTCCGGATAGCTTTTGCGCCGGTATGAAAACCACATCTGATAGGGTTTTTGTTAACACATAAGAAAGGTAATTTCGAAGGGGTTTATGTACCGGAGGCGAAGCTTCGCCGCGCCTGATTTTTGAAAGTTTATCGTCTTCTATACAGGTCGCGTTAGGCTTCCGTTCCATTATTCATAGCAGTGTAAACAGGTGTTCATACCAGGGGTCAATTTAAGAAAACTTTTACAAGTGTAGCTATTGTTTTCAGACTCTAAAACAATGACTACACTAGTTAATTACACTTGTAAATGTTTTATAGAGTGTTTTCACATGACGTCAGAGCGGCCGTATTGGTGGCCCGAGACAATGAAACGGCGGCCATGTTGATGTCCCAAACCAATCCTCTGGGAGCTGAACTCTTTTCGTATGCAAACGCTTTCTTTTGTTCCAAGAAATTTGCATTGATGCTGGCAACGTGAGTGAAAACACCCTATTAAATTGACACCAGGCCGGAGTAATTTCCATCTCAGTCGACATGATACGCTATCTGGAATAGTCTAGACATGGCATGATACAGTCGCAACTCTCGTAACAACCACCTCGGAAATTCGAAAAAGTGGTCGTAACTTACTAAGAGCTGGGTGCTTACGAGAATGAACTTTCGTTAGCCACCGTAAGGTAAAACAGTTAAAGAGGGTGGCCGCGTACGAGAGCTTCACAAACTCATTAATCATTCATAAAGGCTAAGTTAGGCTCTGTGAGTAATCGTTGCCCCGCAGGCTAAGTGGTCGCTACAGAAATGACCTAAATACAATACTGCACTTTACAAGGTCTTTATCAACGAACCATCAGCGCAATTTGCAGTTTCATTAAAGTGTTGATTTATACGAAGAAGACTCTGAGTGGTCGCTTACGAGAGCTTGGAAACTAAGGAAAAGTCCCGTTGGGTAATCCCAAAAGTTGTCGCAGTCAGCGCTCGTTTACGAGAGCTTTTCATTACAAAGTTCAAGTCACAGTTCAAACTTGGTTTCACAAACGTGGTCGTTACTAGAGCTGGCCGCCTACGAGAGTGGTCGAAATGAGAGCTGCGACTATATATGCGTTGTAATAGCCAAGCTGGTTTGGTCAAGATCTTTATTACTATTATTTATTTATTTTTTGCCTTTTTATGGCCCGCGATAAAGTCGAGGTCAACAAAAACTCAAAAGAGAACGAGGCCAATATGTAGCCATCTTGACCGAACAAGCTTGGTCAATAAAGTATTTATTATATGGCCAAAAAGAGGACTTTTGCTTGCGGGACCAACGCCGGAAATTCCACCATGCGGGCAAGATGGGGGTAGCCAATCAGAATACAGGATTTGTTGCATCTTGCTCATTCGGGTCCTTTAATGATTCCTTTTACAAGCAAAGTTTTTTTGAGCATCATCATCGTCGTAGTTTCTGCCTTTATTAACCACTGTGTTGTTATCAAGGTTAACAGGTTAATGACAAACAAAACAAACGAACAAACAGGAAAGAACGTAGCCAAACATCATGCTGTAAATCTTATCCTTTTAGCTTATAATTCTCTAAAACGAATTACGTTTCATAAAAGGAAAACATCACCCTTCTTCTTTTTAAAAGACCTTTCAAATATGCCTAACTAAGTTTTTACTTAACAAGCACTTTAACAACGATTGATCTAAATTTGCCTAGATTTAAAAAGATTCCAGACACTTTCGATGTGGTAAGCGTCAGTGTCCCAGTGACCACTTTGCCGCTTAATTTGGTGACGGTTTGATTACATCAGTAATGACTGTAAATTACCAATACAAGGCCATTACTCGGTATTAAAATGTTAGAATATAAAGTACGCTCAACATACCTGACTCTGCTGTGCAAATTTCTTTCACACATGAGTGTTGGTGAATTTCAAAATTAATTTATCGAACGTTCTGTATTTTTGAGCAGAAATAATAGACAACCGGGTTTAATAATAGCCAATGAAATGTTAATGTAATCTCGCCATGAAATTTACCTCATGCTAAGTTTATTCAAGAAGGAAATAAATGAAATTTAAGACTGAATTAAGGCGCCGAAATAGGAAGCAAGGTACTGAATTGTTTCGAAGACAAGTAAATAAAATATGGAAAATTTCTATATTATTATTACTCATTGTTTGGCCAGTTTAATTCACCTCTGTTTATTTTAAATTTTTTATTATTATTGAAAATGCGCCGACTGTGAAAGTCCAATATCATGTTTGTGTTTTTGCTCTTTTTTGTTTAACTTACCAGTAACTAAGAATCAAAGCTAGAATTCTTACAGAGAAAAAATGTATTTCTCAATTAACATAGCTAAGCACACGACAAAGATTTTGAAAACTAGATTGATGAAACTTAATCTCGTGTTGAACAAGATTCTGTTTTTTATTCGAGAGTCATAATTTATGGTGAAAGAAATATAAAAGGAATCAATCTTGTTTCTAGTCGGAGAAGCAAACATTGCAGTTACCATGTTTTGATTCATGGAAACAACAAGTAATTTTTAGAAGTCAGGAATTTTTCTTAGACAAACGCGTTTCGCTCCTATCGCCCCGTGTAAGAGAATCCGGATTTTAGAATACGGGAAATTTTTGCTTGTTGAATTCGGAATCCTGGGCTTTGGAATCTCGAACACAGCGCAAAGAATCCGAAATCCCACTAACGATTAGAACTTAAAATCCAAGTTCCACTGACAAAGTCTGGAATAAAGTACCTGGAATCCGGAATCCGCGATATGGAATCCAAAATCCAAGACTGTCTTGGATTCCCTTCCATGGGGCCTCTCCTAGCTAGGAGGTTTTATAGTTTTACTGAAATTGCCGAGTTGCCCAAAGCCTCAAAGCGAGGCTAAGTGCGAAGCTATTGATAGGAAAATGATTTTTTATTCTCATGCAAACAAAATTCATTTTCACAAGATGTAGGTCTTGCTTGCATTTAGCCTGGTTTTGAAAGTGAAAGATTTTGGAACTCTGAAATGGCCTATTGATATCAACACTATCAATACCCATTCACCCGATCTCTTTTACTCCCGCCCGCCGCAGAATACCGTGAAAAGAGGCCTCTGCTAGAAAGGAATAAAAGTCCTCTCCCCCCAACATTCTTTACAAACAGCAGGTAGGTTCTTCCTACGTCCCACAACTGGGAATCAGAGCAGCTAGCGAAGGAGCTGTGAGACGCGCGGGGTCTACAGTTTATCGTCCCTATCCGACAACGCTACAAATGAATAGTCTGTTTGTAGATGGCAGAACAAAGGTAACACGTTTTCTTCAGGTTATTTTGAGACCGCTAGTGGTGGTCTGGTCTGCATTTGAAGCTGCGATCTCCCACTTAGCAGACCAGCGATTCTTCATTTGAGCTGAACAGGCCGCGGTTTTAATTTTCTAATGCTGCGGTTGCGGATCCCGAAACCCTTATCCTAGTTTAAATGTTTAATTTTAAAATGGGATTTCCCCTGCCCTATTTCCGATCTGAACTGCTGTTCGCAAGTTTCAAGACAATTCCAGGAATTACAAAACATTACCCCATTTCTGACCGACAAGCTTAAAGGTACAGTAAGACGGTCAACAAAAATGTGCTATTTTTTTGTTTTGCTGCAAAAACGAGTTGAATAGCGATGTTCTGAAACCTACCGAAAGTAGAGAACAGATCTACTTTTTGCAAGAAAATCTCTACACTTTGCGCGTTTTACCGGCCTAAGGCAAACTTCTTGTTTTGCAGCTAGTGACGTAACGCCCGTGTATGGCTTGTCTCCCGTGCAATTTTATCCAATAAGAAGTCCGTGTTCACACAACTTGCATCAACTTAATTTTTTGCAAGGAAGCTTTGAACTTGCTTGGAAAAGGGGGCAACATAGCATTTCAACTAGCTTCGCAGCAAAACAAGTGGCACGTCTTTGTTACCTGTTTTACCCTAGCTTAAAATCTCAATCAAATTTCAAAACCAAGAGGACAAAAAAACCATACCTTTATTCACCTATATTGCTTATATTAAAAAAAAAAAAGAATAACGTCACCCAATTTCCTATCTTTTTGAAAAGCTAAAACATGCCGTCGCATTAATTCTAAAAATAACATGTATATATTTTTTAAGACTTTCCGGGCATTTAAACTCTTCCAGTTATCATGATCTGTTGCTACGGATGTCAAGAATGGAAATGAATTGGAACTTGAAAAAATGGGGTCGATTCTTTTAAGTTTTAAAACTGTGAATGCAAAAATTCAAAAAAAAAGTATATATCTATATGAACTGTTAGCGCTCGCTAACAAAATTTGTTTGGTATCTCTCTTAACTCTAGGCGCAAGGAACTTTTTGGTTGCAAGTAAAGACGTTTAATAAGTAATTACTTT